TGATGCAGTGGATAGAGTATTGGTACCTGGACTCAGGAAGATCTGAATTGAAGTCCAGAATCAGCTGTGTGGCCCTGGGCAAGATACTTAACCTCTGCCTACCTTCTTCATCTGTAAAATGGGAATAATAATGGCACCTACCTCCCAGGGTTGAATGAGGATAAGTGCAAAGATAAAATAAAAACAATGAGGTGGTATAGTAAATAGAGTCCTCAGCCTGAAGTCAGAAAGACATGAGTTCAAATTTAGTCCATCAGACAGTTAATAACTGTGTAACCCTGGCCAAGTCATTTTGCTTCAGTTTCCTTGATTGTGAAATGGAAAGATCACTCAAAAACATTTATTATGCAAGTGCCAAGTACTGTGCTAATAAGCACTAGAAGATAATAGCATCTATTTTCCAGAGTTGCTGTGAGGATGAAATGAGATAACATTTATAAAACAAAAAAATTTTTATAAACTAGTAAATGCTAGTTACTATTGTCATTATTAAAATGAGATATTTGTAAACTGCTCAGCAAAACCTTAAAATACTGTACAAATGATAGCTATTATTTTTATTAACTTGATTTCATCTTGATAAAAATGACATAATGTGATTTGAACTTGACCTCATAGTTGCATTCAAATGAAATAGTAACCTAGATCTGGGGTTGGCCTGAAGGCTTTTCAGATCCTCAAATCCAGGGATTCTTAACCTGAAGTCTGTAAACTTGTGTGTGTGTGGTGGTGGTGGTGGGGGGGGGTTGTTTACTTCTTTATTTGTATAACTGTATTTCAATATAATAGGTTTCCTTTGTAATCCAATGTATTTTATTTTAAACACATTCTCCTGAGAAGGGGTCCATATATTTCACCAGACTGCCCAAGGAGTCTGTGATGCAGAAAAGGTTAAGAATTCTTGCTCTTGTCCAACTCTTTTACAGATGAGGAAACTGAGGCCCAGAGAAGGAAAGTGACTCACCTAAGGCCATATAGGTAGTAAGTAGTAGAGGCAACATTCAAATGCAGGCTGTTGGTTTTTTGGGACTGGAAATTCCATCTACCAAAGCAGGGCTTCACCTGCCTGGTAATTTATAGTCTCAGTAGAGCTGCCTGTGGTCCTGAGAGGTTAAGTGATTTGGGCCCAGGTCTTCCTAAATTCCAGGCGAACTTTCCACCTATATCTCCAGGCTGCTGTTCCATTTTATAGATGAAGAAACTGAAGTTTGGAGAAGTTGATCTGTAAGGTCACACAGCTAGAGTGTAGGGAAAGGAGCCTCATTTCCTCAACTGTCTATTGAGGAGCCCTTCTAGCTATGATCCAATGGTCCCTTCTGCAGGGCTGTCAAGCATGGCAGGCACCATTTCTTCCTATTATTTCCTGTTGCTTCTCAAAGAACTATAGCTCAGTGGGAGTGGAAGGGAGAAGAAAGCCAACTGCAACAAAGAAAATGGAAGATCTAACTTTAGGCTGGTTTAAAAATTGTCAGCAGGGCTTAAAGGAAACAATAGCTCATGATCTTCAGAAGAAGCAGTATCTCTTGCTCCCCCACAGCAGTTGACGATGGCTATCAAAAGCTGGGAGCTACTGCCCTCTTGTGGTAGTTGTATCAGAATTGCACTTACTAGGAAAAAATGGTGTTCCTCCCTGGGAAGGACCTTAGACAGCATCCCTATCAGGTCTCCCCACCCATTCCCATCCCCTATTAAAGAGTAGGAAACTTTTCCTGCTTTGGCGCATGGTCTAGATGTGAGGCAGAGGACATTTTGGACTCTATTATGGACAGGTATGGGATTTTGGGAGCTTGGCATTGGGGTGTGCGTGGAAAGCTTAGCTCTGGCTTGCCCTCTTATTATGAGACCAGTGAGATAGGGTGGTTCTTGCTGGAGGTTCCCTGGCTCTGCACATTCCCAAGCCTTCCTCACCCAAAGAGTTCTTTCCTTCTTCCTACCTGCACAATTTCCTTCTGGACTGTGGCTATTGCTCCTCTGAGGGTTCACAGCTTTTTCATCATAGTCTGCTACAAATTACTCCCCCTGGGAAACATCAAGGGGACGGAGCAGTGGTGTAATTAGAGCACCTTGGGTAAATTCAGTTGAGTAGGGGCAGCGGTGTGGTGGGGAAGATAGCAATACCATTCCCTTTCCCTCCCCCTCCTTCCACTCCCCTCCCCCCCAAAAAAAGTCAGCCCTGTGCTCCTTCGAGGGTTGAGACCCAAACAAAGGGAGGGACCTACTCAAGGTCACTCAATTGCTTAATATCTGAGCAGGACTGGAATCCCGCCTCTTGACCTCCAGTCCAGAATACTTTTTAATAATAGTTAGCATTTATATAGGATATTTATATGGGGCAGCTAGGTGGCACCATAGTGCACAGTGTGCCAGACCTGAAGGCAAAAAGGCTCATGTTCCTGAGTTCAAATGTGAACTCAGACACTTAATAGCTGTATGATCCTGGGTAAGTCATTTCACCTTAGTTTCCTCACCTGTAAAATGAGCTGGAGAAGGAAATGGCAAACCACTCCAGTATCTTTGCCAAGAAAACCCTAAATGGGGTCACAAAGAGTCAGACGTGATTGAACAATAAGATATAGCATTGTGAGGTTTGCAAAGTGCTTTATAAATTTTCTCTCATTTGACCTTCACAACAACCCTTGGAGGTAGGTCTATTATTATTATCCCATTTTACAGATGAGGAAACTGAGGTAAACAAAGGTTTAGTGATCTGAGCAGGGTCACAGAGCTAGTAAGTATGCCAGGATTTGAACTGAGGTCTTCCTGACTCTAGGCCCACTGCTTTATCCACATTGCCACCTACCTGCTATATTAAGTACGATACTGAGTTCCCTCATCTTATCCTTGTGTACCCCTTTCTTGACAAAGGATGCTTTTGATTGGGAGGAAGTATGGTCTAGAAGGAACCCTGTATTTGGAGTCAGAGGATCTGAATTCAGATTTTGGCTCTGCTGCTTAATCTCTGTGTCACCTTGCACATATATTTATAGTTGGAAAGGACCTTAGAGGCCATCTGATCTAACTCCCTTATTTTATAGACAAGGAAACAGGGGCATAGGGTCATCCAGGTAGCGACTGAGGCAGGATGCGCACTCTTTCTGATATTTCATACCCAGTATTCTGGGGGATATCTCCAGTTGTCCTACTCAATGTCTTGCCACTGGACCGAGATAGCTCTGGAGGAGAAAGTGAGACTGGTGACTTTGCAGAACCCTCCCCCCTTAAATCCAATTCACTTGCATGTCATGATCACCTCCCTGGTGTCATGGTCCCTTTTAAGAACAAAAGACAAATGACAACCTCTGTGAGTAGAATTAAGAACTGCCCCACTGGGGACCCAACTGGAACTGGCCAATTGGGAAACACATCTCACCCTTCCTTCTTTCCTTCCTTCCTTCCTTCCTTCCTTCCTTCCTTCCTTCCTTCTTTCCTTCCTCCCTCCCTCCCTTCCTCCCTTCCTTCCTTCTTCCCTTCCCTTCCCTACCCTTGGTGGGGCATGGCTTGCTTTTCCAAACCAGATATGACAAGTGGCCACCACTAGTTAAAAGGAAAATGAAAATGACCTACCTTTTGTTCCCTTCAAAATTTGCTATTATCAGTTCATGATTTTATTTCTAGAGATATATGAACCCCAAATTTTTGCTAGACTTATAACAGTTCAATACTGATCTTCCACTTTGTCTGAAGGTTTTAAATTAGCCACTGAACCTATAGGTTTAGTCCAAACCAAACATTTTTTTCCCTCTACAACAGTGGTGTCTACCCATGTATATAAGGATCCCTGCAGGCGGCATATTGACTTAGAAAACCACACAGTTACATTATCTGCGTTCTATTGTAATTTTGTTTATTTCATGAAATATTTCCCAATTACATTCTAATTTAGTTTTGTACCAGTGTTGGGAAGCAACACTGCCTCAGGGCAGTATGTTTGGTGCCTCTCCTCTAGAATAAAGGCTCTTGTTTTCTTCTGTTGGTAAGAATCAACCATTTCTGTTGATCAGCTTTTCACATTTGCCAGCTTAAGAAACAAAGTAACCCTTTAAAACAAAGGCAAATGTCTCCCAAGCCAAGAGGGAAGGGGGAAAGGGGGGAGAGATGAGAAAATGAGTAAATGATCCATTAAACTATCTACCCCTCTCCAGAAAGAGGGAAAGGGAAGATGGGAGAAGGTCAGTCTTCTCCCGTGCTTGGATTGGGCTCCAGACTCTGGCTCCAGAATCTCCTCTGCTGTTCATGACCTCCCATCCGCTTTCTCCATGGCTCTATGCCCTCCTTCTTCCTACTAGGCTTTCTTGCTCTGCATCTGCCTCTCCCACCCATGATTTCTCCTTTCCTCAGATCAGGTTTAGAGGCACTCTGGATAGTTTGATCTCACCTTAAGTCTGAAATTCCATCAGAGTTTAGGAGATGATGGGAGGGGTCTTTCTGCCAGCAGCCAGTCTCACCTATCTCCCCTTGTCCATGTCTATCTTTTGACCATGCTCCAAAGGGCTTATTGTATGCAGAGTGGCAAGCTAGGTAGGGCAGTGGATAGAGTCCTGCCTCTGACATTTACTGGGTATATGATCCTGGATAAGTCACTTAACTTCCACAGCCTCAGTTTCCTCATCTGTAAATTTGGGATGATGATAGCACCTAACTCACTGTTGTTAAGATCCAATGAGACAATGTATATAAAGTCACATATTATCACGGGAACAATTTGTACACAGAATTATTCACCCTGAGGTACTTTCTCACACTGTGATCTGCTAACCACTTACTGTTGAGAAGGAGAAATGAAAGAGAGTAAGTAGAGTCTCATGGTCAAAGCCTGAAGGCCCTCCTGGCTCCACTTCCTCCCCACCCACCAACCCTGCACAAACACCCTGCTTTGACCATACAAGGGACAGGTAGCCCTAGGGTTTTACCTGTGCCTTGCCTGGCCTGAATCTCCTTTTCTCTGCACCCCCCTGAACACACCTGTCTGAATGACTCTGGTGCCCATGTCTCTGTTTTAGCCGAGGCAAGCCCCCTGCTGCAACTGGACCAGAAGCTGAGTGGGGCCCCAGGACAGCTGGCTTTGGTCTACACCGTCCTGGGGCTGTGTGTGTTCGCTATCTTTTGCTGCTTTTTTATCACGATGGCCTGCTTCCTCAGGAGGAAGGGAGACCAGCCTCGGCCAGGGCGGGATCAGACCACCGCAGAGGGTATGTAACTAGAGTTGAGCGGGGCCCTCTTCCCTAACTTGTATCCTTGGGCTTAACTGCCCCCACCTCCAGCTCTCTATCCCACCCCTCCTTTCTACAAGGCTTTCAAAGACCTCTGGTTCAAGGTGGTCCCTTATTACATCATTCTGTCAGGCAATTATGAAGGTCCACTTAAAAAAAAAAAACTTAATTAGAAGGTTGACCCCTGAGCACAATAGTGCATGGCGTATGTATGTGCGTATGTGGAGGAGCGGTGGGGGTGTGTGTGGGGGGGACGGATGTGCGGAATGGCAATGACATCCACGAGTTTGGAATCCCGGGAGGATTTTGATTTATTTCTGCATTGGGTGATTGGGAGACACGGAAGCACCGCAGGTTACATGTTTGTTCAGGTGAACAAAGGTTAAAGTGAACTTTCACATTAGACTTAACAACCGGAGGAGAGGGTGCGTGGTAGGGGGAGGGGCTTTCTCTTCCATTTTGGAAATTATCTGATTCCTACAGCTTGGTGTCACTCACTTTTGGGATTGGTGCGTCTAGAAAAACCACCAAGGTAAAAAGGGACAGTGAAGATGTAACCAGAGAGTCCAGAGACCTGACCCTGGAGTCAGGGTCCTGGGTTCAAGTCTTGAGCCTCCCAGACATTAATTGTGTCACCCTGTGCAAGTTACTTAAATTTTCAATCCTGCAGGCAACCCTTTAAGACCAGCTGTCCATCCACATTGGTTAAGGGAGTCTTCAAATCTTCAACTCCTTAGTATTACCCACACCAATGAAACAATAAAAACAATTGTTGTTGTTGTTTAGTCAACTCTATGTGACCCCATTTGAGGTTTTCTTGGCAAAGATACTGGAGTGGTTTGGCATTTCCTTTTTCAGCTCATTTTACAGATAAGGAAATTGAAGCAAACAAGGTTAAGTGATTTGCCCAGGGTCACACAGCTAGTAAGTGTCTGAAATCACATTTGAACTCACAAAGATGAGACTTCCTGAGTCCAGGCCTGACACTCTAGCCACTGCTCCATCTAGTTGCCCTCAAAAATAATAATAGCTAGGATTTATAGAATGCCTACTATGTGCCAGGTATTGTGCTAAATGCTTTATTATCTCATTTGATCCTTATAACAACCCTAGGAGGGAGGTGCCATTATTATCATTCTCATTTTACAGTTGAGGAAACTGAGGCAAACAGGGTTGGGTGACTGGCCCAGGGTCATACAGCTAGTAATTATCCTGGGACAAATTTGAACTCAGGTCTTCCTGACTCCAGATTTGGTGCTCTATCTACTGTAACACACACAGACACACACGTAGGTATATGTATGTATACACACATGTATATGTATATATACATACACATATCTTTGTACGTGTATGTGTGTGTCAGTTGACAAGCATCTATCAATCACCCAACAGAAATACAAATGTATATATTTATATACATCTGTGTAACCTTTGTAAACCTTAAAGTGCTATATAAATTGTGCTACATTATATGCATATAGCAGAAATATATAAAATATATCTAGCATTATATATAAATATAAAAGTTCTAAGTAAATGTTAGCTATTATTATTACTATAATTATCATTCCAAGCCCCCTTTGCCTCAGAGCTTTCCTGCAGAAACCCTAGAGTTCCTTTAGCCCCTGCCTCACTGGGTTTTTGTGAGATCAGACACGAGGGTTCTTCTGCTAAAGCTAAGTCTCTCCTCTGTTCCCATGGCCAGAATTCAAATCTGGACTCTATCACTTATTAACTTACTAGCTGTGTGACCTTGGACAAGTCACTGAAGTCTTTGGGCCTCAGTTTTCTCATCTGGAAATGGAAGGAATTGGTTTAGATTCTGGGGTCCCTAACTTCTCAGATTTTTTTTTTTAGGCAATTGGGGTTAAGTGACTTGCCCAGGGTCACACAGCTAGTAAGTGTCAAGTGTCCGAGGCCGGATTTAAACTCAGGTCCTCCTGACTTCAAGGCCAGAGATTTATCCACTGTGCCACCTCACTGCCCCGGTCCCTAACTTCTCTAAATCTATGCTCCTATCATGACTTTGCGTCTCTTTCTTCTCCCAAGTCCTGGATCTGGCTGGGAGCCGTCTGGCCTCTCTCTCAGCTCCTTTATCCATAGTAAGCCTGGCAAGGACAGCTTTGGTAATAACTACTTGCCTGAGTTCCCTGAAGTCCCAGCAAACATCCCACCTAATTCTAGTGCCTATTGATCGGTTATTTCCTATTTATAGCTTGTTTTTATATTTGTTTGCATGTTGTCTCTCCCCCTAGATTATGAACTCCTTGAGGGCAGGGACTATCTTTTACCTTTCTTTGTATACCCAGTGCTCGGCACAGTGCCTGGCACATGTTCAGTTATTTCAGTTGTGCCTGACTCTCCATGACCCTATTGGGGATTTTCTTGGCAAAGATACTGGAGTGGTTTGCTGTTTCCTTCTCCAGCTCATTTTGCAGATGAGGAAACTGAGGCAGACAGGGTGAAGTGACTTGCCCAGGGTCATACAGCTAGTATGTGTCTGAGGCTGGATTTGAACTCATGAAGATGAGTCTTCTTGGTTCCCAGCTCAGTGCTCTATGTACTACCTGACATATAGATGAATGTTTGACTGACCTATGGCTAGTGGGGCTCTGAGGGCACACAGCCTGGGGACTGGGTTGTTTAACAAAAGTAAAGACCAAAAGACAAACATTTATAGAGCGTTTAGTTTACAAATATAGGAGAGGCAGTGTGGAAACAGCCCCCACCCCCAGCACTGGGAAGACTGGTGTTCTGGTTCTGTTATTCTTCAGCTGAGTAATCTTAGGCTTCTGTTTACTTCTCTATAAAATGAAGAGGTTGTCCTGATGAGCTCTAGGTCCCTTCCAAGGATAACATTATTAGACTATGAGATATGTTTTCTGCATTGGAGCAATGCCCTGCAATAATTGGGAAAAAGAAGTGGGGGGAGAGGGGTGGAGACCAGTTTTTCTTATGTATGTTTTTAATAATAATAGCTCACATTTATTTAACACTTTAACGTTCGCACAGTATTTTTCTCACACTTTTACATTTGACCTTCACAACAACCCTGTGAGATAGATTTTTAGTCCCATTTTACAGAAAAGGAGACTAAAGATCAAAGAAGTTGATGAGCCTAGTGTCACATAGTTAGATTTGAACCCAGATCTTCCCAACTCCAAGCCTAGCAATCAATATACTTATCATAGCACACTGTCTGCCTTTCACCTAAGATGAATTAGTCCTTTAAGGCTCCTGATTTGCTTGTTCTAGATATTAATTTAATAGGTGGGCAAGAGAGAGTTCTGCTGGACTGAAGGGCCATCCCACAGAGCATGGATGTAGACAGGCCTATGCCTGGGACCCTTACTAAAGGATAAACACCCCCAGAGGCTACTCCTTTGTTCCTTGATGCCCCCACTGGAGTACCTTTATTATATCCAAAATAGCATGTGTTGTCAGGCTGCATAAAATGAAGAGTAACAGAATTTCAGAGCTGGAAGGAAGTGAGAGATCACCTAGGTCAACCCTCTGTGGCATTTAAAAAGTCTGAGAAATGTAATTTCTGGGTAATTAGTCACTTTATTAATAATGCTAGCATTTTTAATAAAAGGTCAATAGCACTCTTGAATGCCAAAGACAATCATGGCGGCACTGTCATGGAGCTCTTAGATCTCCCCAATTCATTGGTTATTAATAATAGCTTCTCTCACCTCTCACTTTGCAGACTAGGAGCATAGAAAGGTTAGGTGATTTGCTCAAGGTCACACCATTGTTAATGACGGTTAACTTAGCTCTTCTGACTTGTGCTTTCCCCTAGCCTAGACTTGAATCTGTGGTCACTCAATCTCTCTGGACCTCTGTTAAACCATAAAATAAGGAGGTTGGCTTAGATCAGGAGTCCTTAACCTGTGGTCATAGGCTCCCAAGGAGAAATTCCCCTGTGGGTAGATTTGAAGGGGTCCATGAAGTTGGATGGGAAAAAAAATTACATCATCATTTTCACTGACCTCTAACTGAAATTTAGAATTTCTTTCAATTACTTAAAAACATTCTGAAGGGGCAGCTAGGTAGCACAGTGGATAGAGCAGTGTCCCTGGAGTCAGGAGGACCTGAGTTCAAATCCAGCCTCAGATACTTACTAGCCGTATGACCCTGGGCAAGTCACTTAACCCTGATTGCCACAACCTCCCCCCCCCCAAAAAAAACCCCACCTTATTCTGAGGAGTGCATAGGCTTCATCAGACTGCCAAAGGGCCCCATGGCATATGAAAATGCTTAAGAACTCCTGGACTAGAGGAGCCCCAAAGGCCCTCACTGACACTCAGAATAACAGAACATTTAAATCAAGGTTTTATTGACCCAGGTCCCAAGTACATCATTCAAAGGTCACCATGGCTGCTGTTTGTCCAGTACCAATCCTGACGCCAGGATTCGATGTGTAATTCTCAGCATGTGTTCCTGTGGTAGGGTCAGAGTTTTCCTAACCCAGATCCTTTCCTCTGGAAGAAGGAGAGAAGGGCCGAGACACCCAGCTCAGAGATAGAGGATGTTTCAAGTCAATGGTTTCCAAAGGATGCTTAAGGAAAGCAGAGACCTCAATGAGAAGAAAGTGTCACCACTGGCCAGCCCAAAGCATCTGGGGCTGGAGGCCATTTCTGTGGGCGCTGAGGGGCAATTAGATGAAAGAGCCAAGGAGACCACTGTTCTGAGATAGTTCTGCTTGGAAAAGATTTAAACAGTAAGGGTTGTGATAACATATTCAGAGAGGCTTTATAGTTTACCAAGCTGTTTTTGGTTTTTTGGTCTGGACCTGTGATTTCACTGATGATTTCATTGACGTCATGATGATGGTTTCATTGAGCTCCTGATTAGGAAGCTCCCTCTACTGATGCATGTAGGCAAAACATGAGAAATTAAGGGTGTTCCTCTGGATCACGTGGCCAGTCTGGGTCAGAGAGGTGAGGGTTGAACCCAGGTGGACTTTACCCAGGAGACTGCCTCTATCAGACACATCCACTCATTTTGATGTGCATTACCCCCCTGTAAGGCAAGTGGGACAAGTAATCATTATCCCCAACTTCATGGCCCGGAGGACTTAAGAATTGAAAGAATTGATGATCTTGAAGATCACCTAATCCTGTATCCTAATTTTATAAATGAGAGATTAAATCTCAGAGAATGGAAGTGACTTGTCTCATGTCACATGGGTAGTAAAGTAGAAGAGGTAAGATTTGAAGCCAGGTTCTCTGACTCTAAATCTAGTGCCCTTTTCATATATTTTCATATATTACAATGCCGCTGTTCAAAGAAAGTACTTGACTGGGTCAAGGTTACAAGGCTTGTAAGTGGCAAGGTCAGGCCTAGAATCCAGCTAGGCCCAGTGTTCTTTTAATTATGCTGAACTAATGTATTTTATGCTTTCCAGAGTGACTTTATATCCATTATTCTCACAGCAAGCATGAGGGTATATAGGGCAGGTGTGAATGTCAGCTGAAGAGACTGAGGTTCAGAGAGGTACTCAGGTGTGGAGTACCTCTGCTGAGAAAGACATGAAGGTGAAGCTGTGTGCCCCACAGTGGAAAGGTTGTTTTAGAGAACTCACTCTGCTCCCATCCACCTTTCACAGATCATTTAATGGAAGCAGGAAGCGTTGGAGATGCATCTAAGGAGGTCAAGACACCAGAACCTGTGGAAACATCTAGCTTTAGTTTCCCAGAGCAGACTCCCCCCACTGAGGAGAGCACAGTCCCTACGGAGGTCTCACATCCCGAGGTCCCACCTCAGCAGGAAAATGTAGCGGCTATGCAGGGATGCGTTGGTCTGGGGGGGACTGCGTCCTCAGGGCCTACCCCGGGCTGCAAGGAAGGCTGCTTCAAGATCATCTGTTCACCCTCCCAGGAGAAAGTGTCCTCCCCATGAAACGGACAAAGGAGGCAGGACAAGAAGAAACTGGAGTGGCCCATGTCTGTTCTCTCCCCAAACAAACAGATCTTCGTGAAACATTTCTTTCCTTCTGCCGTGGAAATAAAATCTCATTTCTGTGGCGCTCCCCTCCCCGTTTGGGCTATGCCCTTTTCGATTTGGTTGTTCTCATAGAGATCATTCCCTGTCTCTCCTACCCTCCTAATATGGCAGAAATTGAACAAAGCTTCTCCATTCCGTTTCCTTTTTCTTCAGTATTAATGACTGCATCAGCTTGGGAATCAGAGTCTTTAATTTACATTGGCTCTGAAGTTACTGAAACAATGCATAGAGAATGACCATGATTTATATTTATGTCTTTCAATTAAGGGGCAGCAGGCATGAAGGGGGGAGGGTGGTGGTGAAGAGAGATGGAACAGGAAAGAGAGACAGAAGGGGAAAAGAGAGAAAGGAAGGGGGAAAGAGAGAGGGAAGAGGGAGAAGGAAGAGGAAAGAGAGAGAGTGGGGAGAGGAAAGAGAAGGAGGGGAAACGGTGAGAATTACAATATAGCCTAGGGTTTCTGCATCCTTAGCCTAGGTCTCTCCACACCCTCAAGAGCCAGGGCAGGCGAGGCTGGGCTCTTTTTCCTATTTGCTTGTTTCCATCAAAGCTGTTTAGTGCCAGCAGGTTTCTACCTACGCAACCTCGTCTATCACAACTTGGTATAATGGAAAGAACTTCGTATTTGGAGTCTGAGGATGTGGGCTCACACTCCTGCCGTGGCTCCTTTATTCACCAGCAGCGTGATCTTGGGTGAGCCCCCTCCCTTCTAGAGAAGACCTCCATTTTCTCTGTAGCATGGGGGGCGTGGCCTCTAAGGTGCGTTCTAGGTCTAGGTCTTGGCTAGGAGCCAGGTGCCAATTCTGCTTCGCAGTCATCTAGCCTAACAAATTGCAAAGGTTGGCATTTAGGTCAGACCTAAAGGAGAACTATACCTTTTCAGAAGACTGTATTTAGTGGAAAAAGATGGAAACCTGCCAGCCGTTCTCCTCCTTTCTTATCACATGGTACACTCTGAATCTTAAGTAGACGTTTGGTTAACGTTAAACCCTTAGGACTGCCGTACCTAGCAGAGAAACGTCACGGTCCCTTAAGCGACACCACACCGCTTAATTTTCCACCGCCTCTTCTTTCTTGCGCAAGCTCCTGTAGGGGGAGGGGAGGCTGGGAGGTGGCTGCTGCCAAGCTCTGCTTCTATCAGGGTTGAGATCTCTTTAAACCCATCTTTATTTAGACTCCCAGATTCGTCTAATGACACCTTCCTCTCCTTTTTGATGGGAAAGGAAACTCAAATGGGTCCTGCAAAATTATAGAGAGACCATTTCATATTCTCCCTTTGTGAATCAGAACAGAAGGAGGAAGCAATCCCCAAAAGTCCCAGGGCTTGATATACATCAGTTAAGATAAGGCAGGAAAAGCGAAGACTGCAATTTCATGCGTAAGAGAGTCTGAAAAACCCATTTTATCACAGGATGATAAGCTTCTGACAGCCGAGGGAGAAATCATTTTTTTTACGCAGTCGTGAGAAACTGGCTCAAGGCAGAGAGTTTTCCCACTGGCTGAATGGGAAGGTAGCCTGTCTGATGTCGAAATGATACCGTATGTCAGGGCTCCATCTCCCTCTAGCTTCTAGAACAAATTTTAGAACAAATGGGGTAAGCATCTTGAGGCAACATGGGTAGAGGAAAAAGTACTGGACTTTAAGACAGGACACCTGGGTTCTAATCCCAGATCTTCTGCTGACTTGTGTAACTTGGGAAAAACCACTTTATTTCTCTAGGCTTTGTCTGCAAAATGAGAGGGTCGGGCTAGACGTTTTCTCTGGTTCCTGATGGCTTTCACATTCTGTACTTCAATTCTTCCAGGGTCTATGATTGCAGTGTGAACACTCCCAACACCAAAGCAAATCACAGCATTGTACAGCAGTGACCCTGAAGCAACAAGGCTGTCATTTACTCCTTCTTTTACCCATGACAGTCTCACAATATTCTCAAATGTGTGCCTCTCTCCTTGGGCCCAGGATACATGTCTTCTCTGTCAGCTGATGCTGGGTGTGTTTGTAGGAGAGTCTGTCCTGGGTTTATGGGAGAGATGTTGTGTTGCTCCTTTACTTATCATGACATTTTAGTAACTGTGTCTTTTTGTTGATTACTGAAAGGTAAACCCATCAGTGGAGGCTTGTAAGCTATAGGTTAAGGGCTGCAGATCCTACAGAATACCTTGAACATTTGGGTCTGTGAACTTAAAAAAAGATTTTCTGAACTATTTCAATTAAAATTGACTTCCTTTGTAATCCTATGCATTTTATCTTATGCATAGAATCTTGTTCTGAGGAGTCCATAGGTTTCAGCAGACTGCCAAAGGGACCCATGACCCATGTTTTTGTGTTAAGAACCACTGCTCAAGGGGAACACAACCATAGACCATTCAGGGGGTGGAACTCCTCTGGGGTGCCGCAATGATGTTCATCTAGTGTGTTTGTTGTTGTTGTGCAGTCATTCAGTCACGTCCAACTCTTCCTGACCCCGTGGACCCTACTGTCCATGGGGTTTTCTTGGCAAGGATACTGGAGTGGTTTGCCATTTCCTTCTCTAGCAGATTAAGGCAAGCAGAGGTTAAATGACTTGCCCAGGGTCACACAGGTACTAAGTGTCTGAGACCAGATTTGAACTCAGGTCTTCCTGACTTCGGGGCCAGTGCTCTATCCACTGTGCCACCTAGTTGCCCCATCTTGTATATACTTTGTTTTTTTACTTATCTATGTACATGTTGTTCTACCCAGTAGAGTAAGAGGGCAGGGAGTGGGTTCCCCCCCCCATCTTTGTATCCCTAGCACCTATTAAGATGTCTATTAATAAGTGCTTAATAAATGCCTGTCAAATTGAATTAACCTCTCTGACTGACTTTCTCTAGCTAAATAAATCAATCACTCTACTACCTCTCCAAAAGCAGTGAGCCTCTCCAAACTTAGTTTAGTTGGTCTTTAGACAACAGATAGAATTTGCCACCAGGCCTCTCAGAATGTACTCAGCTTTCAAGATGAGAAATCAGCACAGAACTTAGATGGAGACAGTCCATGGTTCCATGTACACACAGCAAAGTATTGCAGAACCTCAGATTGGAAAGGGACGTGACCATCTTGTCCAACCCTTACCTGAACGAGAGTCCCCTCAACAGCAGTACTGTCAAAATCAAAGAGAAACACTACCCAAGGATCCCTGCAGGCTGCACATTGACTTAAAAACCCATTTATTAACATTATCTAGATTTTATTGTATTTTTATTTATTTTGTTGAATATTTTCCAATTACATTTTAATCTGGTTTGGGCAGCACTTGGGGGAGCCCAGTTTAGAGGCTCAAGTTCAAGGCAGCCCATTCCACTTAGGATATGTCTCATCAGTCTAACTAATAAAATATAATTAATATTATATTAACAGAATTAACATTATATTAATATATTAACATTACGTTTCAAGTTCCACCCATTGCTCCCAGCCCTCCCAGAACCTGCTGGGGCCAAGCAGAATAAATCTAATCCCTTTTCCACAAAACTGCTTCTTGATACTTGATTGAGAATCTAACCCCAAATATCCTTTTATTTCTCTTACTATTTTATTTTCTGCATTTTTTAGCAAAGCTGCTGTTTGTTAGGACCTTACCTTTGATGGAGTTTGGGAGTTGGGGGGAAAGGACATTTTAATCTGTCTAGATTATAATTTACAGTGACTTACAATAAGCAAATCTGGTAAAGATTTAAAATCATAAAGTCATGGATTGAATGCTAGATAGGACAGGGACCTCCTTAGAGATCATCTAGTCTAATCCTCTCATTTTACAGATAAGTAAATTGAGAACCAGGGAAGGAAGGACCTTGCCAAGGCTGCCCAGCCAGTTAGGGGCAGAGTCAGAACTAGAAGGAGAAGGGAACAAACATTTATTCGTACCAGACACTGTGCCAAGCACTTTACAAATATTTATTTCATTGGATCCTCACAATCCTGGGAGGTAGGTGCTATTGTGATCCCCATCTTAGAGCTGAGGAAACTGAGACAGAGGTTAAGTGACTAGCCGTGGGTCATGACACTACTAAGTGTCTGACTCCAGGCTCAGGGCTTTATCCACCAAGTCACCTAGATGCCTCCTAGGCAAACCTAGGTGTTAAGTAACCTGCCCAAGGTCACACAGCTTATAAGTGTCTGAGGCTGGATTTGAACTCAGGTCTTCCTGACTCCAGGTCCCACACTCTATCCACTGGGCCACTCAGCTGCCTCAGTTCTTGCTGACTAGCAGCCAGTGTAGCTCTTTCCACTATAGCACATGACTTCATGGGGAGAAAATTGAGGCTAGTAGACAAAATGGGAGCTCTGGGATCATTTCGAGACTGCATTTCTCTACATTAGCCCTCACAATTTGTAAATTTCTTCCCATGAAAGAAAGATACATTGCTCACTCGCTGTCACCAATGACATTTTGGGTAGATTTTTAATGAGTAAAATTAAGCTTGAAATGTCTTTGTCTCAATTTGGTTGTGGCTCTTATCTTTAAAAAAATTTTTTTGGGGGGCAGTTGGGTGGTGCGGTGGATAGAGCACCAGCTCTGAAGTCAGGAGGACCTGAGTTCAAATCCGGCCTCAGACCAAACACTTGAAACTTACTAGCTGTGTGACCCTGGGCAAGTCACTTAACCCCAACTGCCTAAAAAAAAATATTTTAAAGGAGGAAAAATTGACTTTAGGAAGCCTAAGCAGGGACTAAAGTGCCCTGATTAAGTGTCAGTTGAAATGAGAAGAAGATTCTCTGTGGTGTCCCATCTGATGAGGCTGGGTCAGTTTGGAGGTTCTGGTCCACCTTGGAATGAAACAGTGTTTTCATGGTAGAACTTGACTTGCATAGTCAAGAATCCTGATCAAAAAGTATATCATAGAATAATGGGTCTGGAACTGGGAGGAACCTCAGAGGTCAATAAGTCCAATCCTCTCATTCTACAGATGAGGAAACTGAGTCCCAGGGAAATTAAGGAACTTGCCCAAGGTCACTCGTGTAGTAAGCATCAAAGGTAGAACTGAATCTAAGTCCTCTGATTTCAGGGTCAGTGCTCTTTTCATCATAACATGATGCCTCTAGACTTGGGATTATTTTCCAGGTCAAGCTCTGGTCCCTAGAATCAGGGCACCAGCCTTTGTC